GCTATGTATGAGAGCTGCTTCTAGGCCAGGATATATACACCAGCATCACTAACACTGCCTCTAGACCAGGATATATATACCAGCATCACTAACACTGCCTCTAGACCAGGATATATACACCAGCATCACTAACACTGCCTCTAGACCAGGATATATATACCAGCATCACTAACACTACCTTTAGACCAGGATATATACACCAGCATCACTAACACTGCCTCTAGACCAGGATATATACACCAGCATCACTAACACTGCCTCTAGACCAGGATATATACACCAGCATCACTAACACTGCCTCTAGACCAGGATATATACACCAGCATCACTAACACTTCCTCTAGACCAGGATATATACACCAGCATCATACATCTGCCTCTAGACCAGGATATATACACCAGCATCACTAACACTGCCTCTAGACCAGGATATATATACCAGCATCACTAACACTGCCTCTAGACCAGGATATATATACCAGCATCACAAACACTGCCTCTAGACCAGGATATATACACCAGCATCACTAACACTGACCCCTAGACCAGGATATACTACACAGCATCACTAACACTGCCTCTAGACCAGGATATATATACCAGCATCACAAACACTGCCTCTAGACCAGGAAAATTTTAACCAGCATCAGTAACACTGACTCTAGACCAGGATATATATACCAGCATCACTAACACTGCCTCTAGACCAGGATATATACACCAGCATCACTAACACTGCCTCTAGACCAGGATAATACCCAGCATCACTAACACTGCCTCTAGACCAGGATATATATACCAGCATTTACTAACACTTCCTCTAGACCAGGATATATATACCAGCATCACTAACACTGCCTCTAGACCAGGATATATATACCAGCATCAATAACACTGCCTCTAGACCAGGATATATACACCAGCATCACTAACACTGCCTCTAGACCGGGAAATATATACACCAGCATCACTAACACTGCCTCTAGACCAGGATATATACACCAGCATCACTAACACTGCCTCTAGACCAGGATATATACACCAGCATCAGTAACACTCTCTCTAGACCAGGATATATACACCAGCATCACTAACACTGCCTCTAGACCAGGATATATACACCAGCATCACTAACACTGCATCTAGACCAGGATATATACACCAGCAATCACTAACACTAGCCTCTAGACCAGGATATATACACCAGCATCACTAACACTGCCTCTAGACCAGGATATATACACCAGCATCACTAACACTGCCTCTAGACCAGGATATATACACCAGCATCACTAACACTGCCTCTAGACCAGGATATATACACCAGCATCACTAACACTGCATCTAGACCAGGTATAATACACCAGCATCACTAACACTGCCTCTAGACCAGGATATATACACCAGCATCACTAACACTGCCTCTAGACCAGGATATATACACCAGCATCACTAACACTGCCTCTAGACCAGGATATATACACCAGCATCACTAACACTGCCTCTAGGCCAGGATATATACACCAGCATCACTAACACTTCTTCTAGACCAGGATATATACACCAGCATCACTAACACTGCCTCTAGACCAGGATATATACACCAGCACCACAAAGACTGCCTCTAGACCAGGATATATACACCAGCATCACTAACACTGCCTCTAGACCAGGATATATACACCAGCATCACTAACACTGCCTCTAGACCAGGATATATACACCAGCATCACTAACACTGCCTCTAGACCAGGATATATACACCAGCATCAGTAACACTCTCTCTAGACCAGGATATATACACCAGCATCACTAACACTGCCTCTAGACCAGGATATATACACCAGCATCACTAACACTGCATCTAGACCAGGATATATACACCAGCATCACTAACACTGCCTCTAGACCAGGATATATACACCAGCATCACTAACACTGCCTCTAGACCAGGATATATACACCAGCATCACTAACACTGCCTCTAGACCAGGATAAAATACACCAGCATCACTAACACTGCCTCTAGACCAGGATATATACACCAGCATCACTAACCCCGCATCTAGACCAGATATAACCCAGCATCACTAACACTGCCTCTAGACCAGGATATATACACCAGCATCACTAACACTGCCTCTAGACCAGGATATATACACCAGCATCACTAACACTGCATCTAGACCAGGATATATACACCAGCATCACTAACATTTGCTCTAGACCAGGATATATACACCCAGCATCACTAACACTGCCTCTAGACCAGGATATATACACCAGCATCACTAACACTGCATCTAGACCAGGATATATACACCAGCATCACTAACACTGCCTCTAGACCAGGATATATATACACCAGCATCACTAACACTGCCTCTAGACCAGGATATATACACCAGCATCACTAACACTGCCATCTAGACCAGGACTAGATACACCAGCATCACTAACACTGCCTCTAGACCCAGGATAAAATACACCAGCATCACTACACTGCCTCTAGACCAGGATATATACACCATCATCACTAACACTGCCTCTAGACCAGGATATATACACCAGCATCACTAACACTGCCTCTAGACCAGGATATATACACCAGCATCACTAACACTGCCTCTAGACCAGGATATATACACCAGCATCACTAACACTGCCTCTAGGCCAGGATATATACACCAGCATCACTAGGGCTCAAGCAAATATACAATTACTGAGGAACAATGTCAGAATGAGTCTTGCTTGAGGGTGAAGGCCGCCAGCAGGTGTCAACACTCACAGCGGATAACGTAACGTAACCATAATTTTTGAAGAGGTGGAGGCGGTAAGCCAGTCAAGGTCTCGGCCAGATGACCAAAAGCTCCAGCTGCCATACATCATATGACTTAAGACCCGCGTCAGGAAACACTTGTCCTGTTTCTTGACAAACCTTGAAGCAGAGAGATTAATCCCTGCCTCACTTTTCTTTCTTCATTCCTCCTCCTCTTCCTACCTTTCTTCTCACTCTCCCTTACTCATTTCTTTAATTCCTTATTTGCTCCTTACCTTTCTTCCTGCCTTTATTTCTCACTTCCTTTCCTCTTTTCGTTTCTTTCTCTTTCGATATCTCCTTCCCTCCCAATTTTCCTGCCTTTTACGTTCGAATTCCTCCTCGTTCCTTTCCTTTCCCCTTTCTTCCTCCCTCTCTTCCTGCCTTTATTCCTCCCTCAGTTTTTTTTTATCCAGTATCTTTTCTTCCTTAACGCCTACTCCTTCCCTTCTCTTCTGCATCTCTTCCTCCTTTCCTGCGTTCTCTTCCTCACTTTCTATCTTTTCTTCCTTCCTCCTTCCCCCCCCCCCCCCTCTCCAACTATTTCCATCAAGGTCAACTCAACTGAAGGGATCAGTCTAGACTTCAGACTCTGGAGCTGTCTGAAAAATGCTGACTTACACATCAGAAACTAACTCCCAATAACACTGCGTTCCTGCCCACCTGTCATCTAACCCGACAACACCTGTCGTCTGCCGTCTTATCCTAACACCTATCATCTCACAACACCTGCAGTGATACTGCCGCCGTAAATCTCCTATCGTGAGATGCCTCTGAAACCACCGGCAGTGTGGATAAATATGGGCCAGTAGGCCTACCGTAGTGCTGCTGCTTCGAAGTTTGCTGGAAGAACGCAGAATAAAGGAACACGGCTGACAACCTCCCTAGATTTTTTTCCTTCAAAAGTCACTAATAAAAACGAAGCTTCATATACACTTTTACTGTGATGTAGTTTAGAAAACCGAAACGTTTTGCTAGCCACTAGTTGGCGAAACGTTTCCTGGGTAGAGAGCCCGAAATATTGCACATGTCTCATTCTTTTGGCTAGAATGTCCCATTAATATTTAGTTTTATCTAAACTTTTTTGTATTCATTTGCAAGTAAACACAACAGACAAGCACGTGAATCTACACCCTTGTTTTTTCCTTCGATCTACACCAGCTGTTGGAGTGCGTGCTGTCAACACCAACAGCCTGACTGACGAAGCCATCCTCCAGGAGGTTTAGGTTAGGTAAGGTTTGTCAGGAAACAGGACAAGCGTTTCCTGACGTGGGTCTTAGTCATATGATGACCAACCGCTGGAGCTTTTAGTCATCTGACCGAGACCTTCCGCTGACTTACTCCTTTTAAAAATTATGGTTATGATAATAACCTTAATATGAAGCTTGATCTGGGACTGAGACGAAGAGACGATGATCTCCAGAATCAACTACAAGTTGACCTTTCCCTCTCCCTCCCCAACTTTCCACTCTCCATCCTTCCCTCTCCCTTCCTAGCTTCCCATCATCCAACACTCCATCCCCCATCTCTCTTCTGCCTTCCCTCCCTCATCTACCAGTCCAGGGAGAAGACTCATCCATTATCGCCCCAAAACGACACAAGACATGAAGAGAATGCCAGTAAAGCAGGGAGAGAGAGAGAGAAAGAGAGCAGCAAATTCAGCACTCCAGTGCTGATGGAGTCATCAACAAAAGTGCAGTTTTGAAAGCTAGCAACACTCAGACATATGTCCATTACACAGATGAAACTCAGGGGAATCATAACAAATATGATATTCCCAGAGAGGCAACCAAATAGTAAGAGAAGAAATGGAGGAAAGAAACAGAGGACTGGCGATTAAGTTTACGGGAAGAGCCGAACCCGCACGAGTCATACGGCATCTTGATCTGAGAAAAGAGAGGGAAGGCTGAATTACTTGGATCAAGAGCCCTTCACCAGCATAAAGGCTCCTTCCTTCATGAAGAAAACAGAGGATTGGAACCGAGGCATGGAACAGAGGACTGGAACAGAGGATTGGAAAGATTGGACAAGAGGCATGACAGAATCGGAACAGAGGATTGGAAAAGAGGCATGGAACAGAGGATTAGAACATAGGCATGGCACAGAGGATTGGAACAGAAGCACAGAACAGAGGCATGGAACAAATAACTGGAACAGAGGCATTTCCATTCACTCTACTTACCATTTTCTTTCAAAGGGCCATTTACTCCCCCTCTTCTTCCACTATAACTTGCTCACTCCACATACACCAACCTGCAACAAACAACAACTTTCTCAATTATACAGCCAATAAAAAAACGCCGATGGCTTGCACATACACGCACGCACGCCGCACACACACACACACACACACACACACACACACACACACACACACACACACACACACACACACACACACACCAGAGTTCATTTTTAGACAACCACAAAATAAAAATAAATAAATCCACATTATCTGAGGAATATCTAAGCATAGGAAAACAAAATGGTCCATATAGTAATATTAAGACTAATAAAAATAACTGCAATACTACTAATGTAATGATAATTGTAATACTACTACAACTACTAATAATAATTGTAATACTACTAGCAATAATAATAATTGCAATATTACTACTACTAGTACTAATAATACTAATAACTTTAATACTACTACTATTAATACTACTACTACTACTATTAATACTACTACTATTAATACTACTACTACTACTATTAATACTACTACTACTACTATTAATACTACTACTACTACTATTAATACTACTACTACTATTAATACTACTACTACTACTATTAATACTACTACTACTACTACTATTAATACTACTGCTACTACTACTACTACTACTACTACTACTAATAATAATAATAATAATAATAATAATAATAATAATAATAATAATAATAATAATAATAATAACGATGTTGCTGGTGCTTATTAAAAGTTATAATTCCAGAGCTTCTCCCTCACGTTATGTCATCAATCTCCAACATGGACAAATTACATTATCATGTACCATTAATCATCAAACAGGTCATCAATTTCCTCAGGGGAGCATTTTAATAATTTAAACGTTGCACTCAGCGCACTGGAATGTGCGCTCCAGTGAGTACTCAAGAGTACTTTAAGGGGCACCTAAGTTCCCCCCCGTCTTCTAATAACATGTTTATTTTGTCCACTATAATCTACCTTGTCCATAATTACTATAGCATTTGTTTTGTCTGTTACGTAAGGTAAAGTCCGGGATCTTTTCTTAACTCATGGTATAATTTAACATATCTTTGAGGACAAACGTGTTGTAGAGGACTGAACGAAGCCTAGCAAATTCGATGTGGATTTCTTATATACAGTTTGCAGCTAATTTCTAGACTAATGTAATTTGGATTAGCTTAGGTTATGTTAAGTCAGGTTAGTGTGTTCTGTATCAATAAAAATAACTAGATATAACATATGATACGGTAATAAACAAATTCTACGATAAAAGCGATAACTGTTGGTGTGCGAACAGATAACGGGCATCCACTGTGTCGCAGTAGAACGATGCAAGTCAGATACTGTTTAACACCTTTTAAACAGTGGGCGAAACATATAACAAATAAAATGTTCCGAAACTTTGCACATCACATGTCATAACTGATCGACTAGGCTGTGACTGGATGTGCCAACAAGCGGCCGCCGCCAACAACAACAATCACCTGATCGACCAGTCAATTAACAGAGGCCTAACCCAAGGCCTAACACCCAAGACCTAAGCCGGGAGAGGAAGAAATATTCTAGAAAGAGGTCACTGGTCACACACACACACCTAGAGTGACACAACGTGGCGTCTCTGCTTTTAAAAGTTCTCGTAACTGAAACCTGTCAGACTCCTGACGTCCCCTGTCCTTGAAAGGCATGATTTACCTTCTATTTTCAAAATATTTATGGTAAGCGCTCACTCCTTACGGCGGAGGGAGATGAAGGAGAAGGGGAGAACTAGGGACAAAAGGAGTAAAGAAAGGAAGAGAAAGAACCAATACAGGAAATAAAAAAGAAGGGAGACTGTAGTGAGGCAGAGAGGAGTGAGAATTGAGAGCAGAGGGGCGAGGAGTTAGAGAGCTGTGAGGAGCAAGAGAAAGCCGAGAGCAGTAAGGGGTGACAGCACAACTCTCGCCACAGATGTCACTGGGAGATTACTTGGCGATGTGAAGCACATGCAATGCTGTAGAGGTAATGGTGATGCTCTCTCTCTCTCTCTCTCTGTCCTACCAACAACTTTTTTGAACCTTATTCACAAGGCAGATTAACCAGGCTGTTAGTGTTGGGTTGAAGAGTCTTGGTGTTACCCAAGATAGTCAGACAGTGGCTATTTCCAATGTTTGTGTCATTATGAGGTCCTTGCCCAGGATGCCAACTGTAACAGTCGACTAACTCCTGGGTATCTACTTACTGATAGGCAACAGGGCAGCAGGTGTTAGGAAATTTGCACCTATGTCTCGCCCCACTCAGAGTTTGATCAAGGGAGCTTTCGGTTGTGAGTCTAAGATCATTACTTGAGCTGCGAGGTACAGTATGGGAGTCATAATTCACACGATCGTATGAGAGGGATGCTGGCGGAGCCAAATTTCTAACTGCAACACCACCTGTGACCGTATCACACCTGCAACACCACCAGTGACTGCAGCACCACCTACACTGCTGAAAGCCCTGGTGATATTGACACGGTTATAATTCTGAAGTAGTGATGGCGGCCTTCAGTCATGGTCGCGAATACTATCATCTGCACGAGTCTCACATCTGTTCTCATGAACCATTGAATCAGCATTGTTCCCAGACCCTACCAACCAGATCACTCACTCAGATGAAGGTGGTTATGGTGCGAGAAAGTCAGAAGAGAAGAAGGCAAAAGAAAAAAAGGAAAATGAAGGGATGGAGAGAGAGAGAATTACACACCTCATAAACACAACACAGTTACATTTTCTTTACAACCCTTGACTTTATTTTAGCGCGGGACGCCCACATTACACCAATCACCGCAAGAGATACACCTACGCCCTTATACTGGAGTTTATCTGGAGAGAGTTCCGGGGTTCAACGCCCCCGCGGCCCGGTCTGTGACCAGGCCTCCTTAGGTCAGTGTCCCAGGATGCGACCCACACCAGTCGACTAACACCCAAGTACCCATTTTATTGATGGGGAACATAGACAACAGGTGGAAAGAAACACGTCCAATGTTTCTACTCTGGCTGGGAATCGAACCCAGGCCCTCGCCGTGTGCAGCGAGAGCGTTAACCACCAGGCCACCAGAGCCACTGCCTCATGTTACAGCACTTGAGGGGCGAATTTTATGTTCCAGACACACATACAGTTATAAGAAGAGATACGACAGAGCTCATGGAGCAGGCAGAGTGGGCCTAGTGGTGGCCAGCGAAAAGGCGGCGCTAGAAGCTGTGACTCAGCCCCTGCAACCACAAACAGGTAAGTACAAATAAGTGTACACATACACACACACACACACACACACACACCTTATATATACCTCTGAAGAGTTTCGAGGGTTTCTCTACTCTCTGAGCCCGGCCATGGGCCAGGCTCGTCTGGTGCTTGTCTGGTCAACCAGGCTGTTACTGCTGGAGGCCCGCTGCCCCTCATATCCATCACAGCCTGGTTGATCTGGCACCTGGTGAAGATACTTGTCCGGTTTCCTCTTGAAGGTTTCTACACTTGTTCCAGCCGTGTTTCTGATATCTTCTGGTAAGATGTTGAATAGTCTGGGACTCCGGATGTTGTTACAGTGTTCCCTTATTGTACCCACTGCACCCCTGCTCCTCACTGGGTTTATTTTACACTTCCTCTCATATCTCCCACTCCAGTATGTTGTTACGGCAATGTGTAGATTTGGGACCAGGCCCTCGAGTACTTTCCGGGTATATATTATCACGCATCTCTCTCTCCTTTGCTCCAATTAGTACAGGTTACCTGGAGGTTATTCCGGGGATCAACGCCCCCGCGGCCTGGTCCATGACCAGGCCTCCCGATGGATCAGGGCCTGATCAACTAGGCTGTTACTGCTGGCCGCACGCAGTCCGACGTACGAGCCACAGCCCGGCTGATCCGGCACTGACTTTAGGTATCTGTCCAGCTCTCTCTTGAAGGCAGCCAGGGGTTTATTGGCAATTCCCCTAATGCTTGATGGGAGGCTGTTGAACAGTTTTGGGCCCCGGACACTTATGGTGTTTTCTCTTAGTGTACCAATGGCGCCCCTACTTTTTAATTGGGCGGCATTTTGCATCGCCTGCCCAGTCTTTTACTTTCGTAGGGAGTGATTTCTGTGTGCAGATTTGGGACCATTCCTTCCAAGATTTTCCAAGTGTAGATTATGATATATCTCTCCCTCCTGCTTTCCAACGAGTACAAGTCAAGTGCTTCCAAGCGTTCCCAGTAGTTAAGGTGCTTGACAGAACTTATACGTGCAGTAAAGGATCTCTGTACACTCTCTAGATCTGCGATTTCACCTGCTTTGAATGGAGATGTTAATGTACAGCAGTATTCCAGCCTAGAGAGAACAAGTGATTTGAAAAGGATCATCATGGGCTTGGCATCTCTCGTTTTGAAAGTTCTCATTATCCATCCTATCATTTTCTTTGCACGTGCGATCGTGGCACTGTTGTGATCCTTGAAAGTGAGATCCTCAGACATTACTACTCCCAGGTCCCTTACATTATTTTTCCGCTCTATTGTATGGCGGGAGTCAGTAGTATACTCTGTTCTAGTTATTATCTCCTCCCAGTTTTCCATAACGGAGTAGTTGGAATTTGTCCTCATTGAACATCAAGACTTGAACGGGGCCGTCAGCACTGAGCAATATTCTAGATGTGGGAGCACTAGTGATTTGAAGTGTCACCATTGGCATTATTTCTCTTGTTCTGAAAGTTCTCAATACCCACCCCGTCATCTTCCTGGCTGTCGTGATCTTTGTCTTGTTATGGTCTTTAAAAGAGAGTTCAGGTGCCATAATTATTCCCAGGTCTTTACATGATCATTACGTTCTATTTGGTGACCTTCTTGAATGCTGTATATAGTGCTCCTTTTGAGTTCTTCATTCTTTCCATACCTAAGCAGCTGGAATTTATCACCACTGAACGTCATGTTGTTCTCCACTGCCCACTGGAAAACCCTGCTTATGTCTTAGTGTAATTTTTCAGTGTCGTCTACCGTAATGACTTTCATGCTTATTTTAGTGTCATCCGCAAATGATGATACAAAA